GAGGAGAGGAGAGGAGAGGAGAGGAGAGGAAGAGGAGAAAAGTACGAGGGGAGGAAGAGAAGGAGGAAAGACGGAGGGAAAGAGCAGGAGAGGAAAAGCAGGAGAGAAGGAAGAGCAGAAGAGAAGTGGACAGAAGAGGAGAAGAGGAGAGGAAACGCAGGAGAGAAGGAAAAGGAGAAGAGAAGAGGAGGCGATGAGATAAGAGGAGCAGGCGAGTACAGGAGGACCTGTGAGAGATCGCTCGCCCATGGCCGCCTCACGTATGTCTGCTCGCACTCAGCCTTAGAATGAGAATCAGAATGAATTATAATTATAATTAGGAATTAGGAATTAGGAATTAGGAATTAGAATTAGAATGAATCAATGGGCCTTAGAATGAGAGGTAAATAGAAATATATCGAGAAAAAAAAGAGAGAGAGAGATAGCTAGAAATGGAGAGGTGAGGAGGAGAGAACGCGCGCGAGAGGCGGCAGTGGAGAAGACTGAAATGTATTGTATATATTGTACATTCATTCCTGGGATGACGGACACCAGCTAATCAGCCTAGCCACCGACGATACTCAATTACAACCACTTACTGGCTTCAACCAGCGCCGTAATCCGACTACGCGAGACGATAAGGATGAGGATGAGGATGAGGATGAGGATGAGATGAGGATAGGATAGGATGGGATGAGGATGAGGATGGAAGGATGAGGATGAGGATGAGGATGAGGATAAGATGATGATGAGGATGAGAATGGAGAATGAGATGAGGATAGGATGAGATGAGGATGAGGATGAGATGAGGATGAGGATGAGTATGGAGGATGAGGATGATAATGCGGATGAGGATGAGGATGAGGATGAGTATGAGAATGTGGATGAGGATGAGGATGAGGATGAGAATGCGGATGAGAGTTAGGATGAGAATGAGTGTGATGTGGTACTGATAGTATACACTAGATCGAGAGGACAGTGGTTGAATGTATACAGTAGATCGGGGGAGGGTGACGGGGTGCTACTGTGCGAGAGGCACTTGTCTGGTGGCGTGGGTGGTTTAAGGCAGGCTCTACACATAACCTGTGCGTTAACGCCCAACCACGCCCTAAGCCACTTACACGGCTGTGATGACCGTGTTCTGCTGCGAAATGATACCAGCCTTGCCTTACTACAGATTACAGCAAAATGCCGGCTCGCACTTCTTCACCCACCAATCGTGGTAAGGTGATTTCCAGACCATTTTACTTTACGAGTCAATGTAACGCTCATGCACGTACGCGGTTTCAATAGGAACGCTAGTCATTTGTCCTCAAGCTGTCAAAACGCCCTCCACGGAACGCCGTATTTCGTCACCTAATCGGATTTTGATAAGTGGTACAGCAGATCTTTACACTATCTATAAGAAGTCTGTAGACGTCACGAGCAAATCAGATCTGTAGGAGGTACATGTAGTCCAGTCACACGCAATTCGAGGGATGAGTATCTAATGCCCAATAGCAAGCACAACGCAGCCTGACTGCCTACGCTACATCTACTTTCACCCTGTCTACGTATACACTCGCCATAGCACCGCTCACGGCTAGGCGACGCCACAGCGACGGACAGAGGGCGCCACCACGGCAGACAGGGGGCGCCACGCCACTCACCGTATGAGTCGGATGCCATCACGCCATTGCGAGGGTCCATTGGGTTGTAGGGGTAATGCTGCCGGTAGTACTCATGTACATTGTGCAGCGGCAGGGGTGGGGCCGGCGTCGGTGCCTGCGTCGACTGCTCGCGGCCCGCGCGCAGATGGTCGGTGCTCGTCGATGGCTCCTCAGCACGCTCCGTCGACGAGGCCGTCGTCTGAGCTGGCGCCCTCTCTGGGAAGAAAAAGAAAGCTTTGTGATTTTTACTTCACTTACAACGGTGCGTTGTTGTTGTTGTTGTTGTTATTATTATTAATAATAATAACATTATTATAATTGTTGTTATTAAATTAATACCTATATAATTATTATTACAAAGAGTTTATATTTTAACGAGTTATTGCGAGTTATTTACATTACGAGTTGGGTGTAGTCTCAATCACTATATATGTGAAAAAATTGTTTAGAATAAATTCATACAGTCACAAAAACACGCTCGTACAAAAACTATGCGAACGTGCATTGCCACGACAGCAAGTATACAAAGTATGATGGTATAAACCTCTTACTACAGAGTGTTAGACCAGCTGGTGGGATAGCGCCTGATCACACAGACAACCACAACCAAACTTTGTCAAGGATTTGTGTCGAGCTTTTACACCTCAAAATAACCCAGTCACACTTACATATATCATAGATATAATTTATATTCTTCAAGTTTGTCAAAAAATCTGTCAAAATCAGCACACGGTAAAGTTGCTACACTGGTGGGATAGCGCCTGATCACACTTATAGCCACAGTATCACACTCACAGCCACAGTATCACACTTAACACGCTGCTTCACCCATCCGCTAATGTTTCTCACGATCATGCGACGGAATTTCTAAACCGACGACAACAACAATTAGGACGACGACGACAACAACGATGACGATGATGACGACGTCAACGATGACGATGATGACGACGACGACAACGTTGACGATAACGAAGCAGCACAGCTGTTGATGCGTCTCAAAGGTTCCAAAACACGGCGCAGATGCGACGAGCGATGTCCCTCAGCTGTTCATTGCTCATCTCGTGGTCACGGTAAACGAGTTACACACGCTACAACGACTGCATCTACTACTACTACTGCTGCTGCTGCTGCTGTTCTCCCCCTCTTTCTCCCCCTCTCTCTCTTCTTCTCTTTCTCGATATCTGTCTCTCTATCTCTCTCTCTTTCGATATCCCTCCCTCTTCAATGCGTTCCCCGCTCTCTCTCTCTCTCTCTCTCTCTCTCTCTTCCCTTTCCGTGCGTTCGTTCCCATCCCCCTCCCTCTCTCTCTCTCTCCAGCATGCGCCCCGAGGCCTCTAGCATCTCTCCACGTGCAGATAAAATCACGAGTAATCGTGTTTAAAAACGCCAAGTACTGCTACATGAGCAACGCCAACACGTATAGCGCTGCTCGCAAATTCAGACGAGGTTCCACCCAAGGGTATTTATTGATAGCGACTACAATACACCGCAGATACGTCTGCGTTTAATAAAGCTGAAAATTCAAAGAACTAATAGATTGCAGTCGGTTTAGCAGATCTTGAAACGTAGACAGTAATAGATTGTGTCAGTGACTAAGTAGTAGACAGTATGTGAGTCGGAGAGGCGGCAGCGGTGGAGTTGTTGCTCGCAAGGTAAATCAATTCGCTTATCTTTCATCTACCTAGAGCTATGTGTTTTATCCATATATCTGGACGCATTGCGAATTATACAGTACTATCAGAAGAGTACTCGGGGAAGCTCCCCCTTCTCCTCTCTCCTTCTCCCCAATCTCTCTCTCTCTCGCCTCAATCTCCCTCTCCTCTCTCCGTCTCCCCTATCTACGACCCCCTTCCCATGCCCTCCTTCCTCGCCGAAACCGCGTTCACCCTCTTGGTCCCTCTCTCCATCTACGGCCCTCTTCCCCACCGACTTGCCCCTCTCCCAATTTCAGACCTTATATCTTATAGAACCTCCCTCCGCCAGCTAAACACGAGTTATATATATATATATATACAACACGAGGCTTGTTGATCCGGTTCCTTCTTTGTTTTCAAATCGTCTTGTTAAACGGTTTGTAAATCTCCGTCTCGCTATGCAGAAGCTATTGTTAGACGAACATATATATATATAGCACAATAGCTGTGCATATAAACAGCGTCAGCATCTCGACGTCCCGCCATCTTACATGACGGAGTATGTGAGTCTATCTGACACGCGCATAAAAGATATTATTATACACGGTGTCTGTCTGTCTGTCTGTCTCCCTCTCTCTCTCTCTCTCTCTCTCTCTCTGTATGTGTGTGTGTGTGTGTGTGTGTGTGTGTGTGTGTGTGTGTGTGTGTGTCGTGCGTGGTGTGTGTGTTGTGTGCGCGCGCGCGTGTCGTCAAATTTTGAAAAGTAAACTATTGGTCACAAGATGCACATTGATTACGTCTTAAGAGAAAGATGTCATATATTTAAATATTAAATTATCCAAACACACACTATAACCACAGAATCTGTATACACACGCGCACGCACGCACGCACGCACTATGCCCGCAAAAACGCACGAACGCACGCATGCACGCCCATATGCACACAAACACGCTAACGGCTAGCTAACACGCCACACGCGCCTACACTTCAATCCTAGGTGTTATAAACGCCGAGTCTGGGTCTGTCACACGCGCACGCACGCACGCACGCACGCACGCACACACACACACACACAACACACACACACACACACACACACACACACACACACACACACACACACACACACACACACACACACACACACACACACACACACACACACACACACACACACACACACACACACACACACACAC